ATTGGTCTTTAAATGCTGCAAAAATGTTTAAATGTAACGTAGAAAAGTTAAATAAGATTTAAAGTTTACTAAGTAAAAAAGGATACATATTACTTTTTAAATAAAAATGTTCAAAATACTAATCCGAATGTCATATACTTAGACAGAAGACGTTTATGTTTACTAAGTATAGCTACTGTGTTTAAAGTATCACTTAGTACCGTATGATCGAAAAAAATGGCGTCCAGTTGGCTGGGAAATGACGATCGATGACATTTCCCATATACCTAAATTTACATATAAAATGACAGCGATCTTCATTTCATAGCCATCGTTGACGCCGTTTTTTCTCGATCATACGGTATTACCATATACGATACAGTGGCGTGCATATAATGTCAAAAAGGCGTATACAGGTCCGGTAATAGGATATCTAGGCATAGGAATTACATGCATTGGAATGAAACGCCTATAAAAAGTCTAAGCTTAAACAGAGATGGACAACAACTTCCCGTTTCCACTTCCACTACGACTGTCGAGTTAGACAAACTCCAATAAGATAACACATTTTGGAAATTCCGCCGCCTCCCAACCACCCATGATACCCATCCACCTGCCCATTATCGCCATTATCTTATGTCCCTTCCCGCACCTCCGGAAAACGCCATCACGTCAGTCCATCACAGAGTTGCCAGGTCTACCGGTTTCGTCTGTAAGCTACCGATCTACAGATTTAAACAAAAATCTAACGATACGTTCAATTGCGTCTTTAGTCTAATCGGACTTTATTATTGTTTATTAAATTTTATTTAGTAATCATAGGTCATTGTTCTGTCTAGTTGCAGAGTTACAAAGATATTCCTACAAATCCTTATTACTTTTTATTAGGCGCGGTATTGGCGATATGCCCGAAGAAGTTGATATCTTTTGAAAAGATTTTGTTTCATTCGTCTACTAAAGTTGAACCCATATTTTCCCCAAAAAAATATAAACAAGAAACAAAATCTAAGTTAAGAAACAAACTGAATACGGATAAATATTTTAGTGCTTTTCCTGTCAAAAAAATATATTAATATGAAAAAAGAGTTGAGAGTTGCTACAGCTTTCCCATTGAAATGAAATTAATTTTAGATATCACTGATCAAAATTTGTACAAAGGTAAAAAGTGACTGCTATCCCTACTTATTATAGTTTTTATTAATATATTAATATTGTTTAATTCAATATATTTTTTTTAATATTAAATAATATACCTCTTCCTCAACCCGGATTCATCCACTCCTGGATATAGGTCTCTCCTATCCTTTTCCATGTCTCCCTGTTTTGTGCTGTATTTAACCACCGTTTACCTGCCACTTCCCTAATGTTACGCAGGGACGTGCCCCTGCCCACGCGAGCCTTAGCTTATCTCCCAAGACCATACTGGAAATCACTGTCCCATCCCATTCTCATTTCCAAACCTCAAAATTTTCCAATCAAAAGCATGGCCTTGAAATTGCCAAACCTCTAAACCACGAAATGTCGAACCTTAAAACAAAACTACCCCAGGCGAGTAGAACGTATGATTCAGAATCTCGCACTGAATATAATATACCTAGCTATTTCCAATTCTTGTTATATTTATCATATTTGTATTTTATTTGAGTTATCTAGTATTACGACACAAAGGAATGCCAATTTTGGACTTAAATATTATATTTTATTTTGTTTCTGTACTTTTGATTTTTGTTGAAGATCTACCGAGAATTTTGTCCTCGTATGGAATTATAATCTAACAAATCCGGCAACCCTGTTCGGCTACTCCTTTATAAAGTTTTTTCGGCCCAATTCTTTTGTCACCGCCGCCGCCGACCGACCGGTCGGTGTCGGGGCGACTGGAAGGAAGATCGTACAGTATTGCCATTTTATAGAATTGCACTTGCTATTTTAGAAATGATTTAAAAGTTCTGCATGTTACTTTTTGTTTTAGAAAGAAGTTGTTATGTGCCTAGAGAAAACATTCTTAAAATTGTTTGGTACTTTATTTAATATTTCATTAAGTAGGCAAGATAATGGGATTAGAAGATTCGGGATTTAGGATAAGCCAACATAATTTTGATTTAACAGAATGGCAACACTGTCCTTCCTCTTTCTATTTTTTCGATTCTATTCTATTAGTAGCCGGTAGTCCCCACAGAAGCGTCTTAAAGACCCGCCCCCCCCACGCAGAGGCTCTCTCGTCGTATCACTTCTATGATCACTTCCCCTATACAATGGTAGGGAAAAGACACTTTATCCGTCTCTGTTGTACTGCAGTGTATTTTGCAGCCTTACCATCTTTTTTTATCGCATTGAAAACCTCCTATTGCTAATGAAATTTTGCCACACGTGTATATTAGGTTGGCAATGTCATAAAATCTTTTTTTATCATTACATTTTAAATTATGACTAATCCAACAAATATTCGCATTAAGCATTTTTTGTCTTATTTTTATTCTAGCGACTACTGCGTTAACGCGCAATTTCCATATAAAATTTACCATACAGGCGCTCCATATGATTTACGCGAAAGCGGATTGATTTACATTTATATTGTCTCTGTTGGGATGTTAAAGGTTGTGCTTTTGCGAATCTTCCATGTACTCTACAGACCGCAATGACTAGAAGGCCAATGTGTAAGAAAGAGATAGAATTATGAAGTAACGCCGTGGTTTAATTTTGTCGGCATCGCGCGTCGACTGCTGTCCTGTGCAGTGATGCTAAATCTGAATATTTTCCCCCAATTATATAAAAAATAATTATTTTGAATACTTAATTAGCTACTTAGTTTTTGCCGACCCTGCTTTGATTTGCACTGCAGGCCACGGATAACTCATATTTCTACTATAGTGGTGTTGTATGGTTTGTATGATTTAGTAGTAAAGATCATCAGAAAGTTCGATTTTTTCGAGTTCAAAAATCGTATTTTAAGTTATGTTAGAAACTGTTTTGAAACACATTAAGTAAGCAAATCAGTAAATGTATACATTCGTAAAATAAGTAATTTGCTGGTGTTTATGTGTCGGGATAATTGCGACGTAATAATTCGTATTCCTGTTTCTAAAATATTTCTGAACTTTTAAGTACTGTTGATACGCTTAAATACTAGTTAAAGAAGATATTTCATTTTATCCTTGTTAATGGGCGAACTAATTCATTTATTTTTATTTAAATTTTGCCATAAACAGTAACTTTAACTTTAAACTATATTTGTTGACAATTTATTAAAGGACATAAAATAATAAAGATTATTTTATGTGTAGATCATCTGTTTATTTCCATCGTTTGTTATTAAAATTGAGAGACTTGTTTATAAAAATGTGTTAATAGGTATGTCTATATGCTTGTTTGTCTGGGACGTTAAAAGGAACTAAGTCGATTTTAGAGTAAAAAGTTATTTTAATATTTAAGTTTTATATTATTATTGGGCATTTCTATTTCAATGCTATTTATGTTGGTCTCAACTAGTGATGTTAATATTTCAGAAATTTTTGATTGTTGCAGGAAATTTCCGAAACTTTCGGAAATTTAGGAAATTTTACAATTTTACATATTTTTTTTGATACAATAAAGGAATAAATTAGATAGATATTTGATACCAACAAATAAGTGAAAAAAAAAACAATAAACATAATATTAGTTGTTATATTTTTAATAAACAATACATAACTCATAAAAGTCATAAACATAACACATAACAAAAATCATTGGTAACATTTGTACTTTGTACATAAACCATGAACTATGATTATGAACTTAAAAAAAACAAAAAAGCACGAAATATAAATTTAAAAAACGTAAAACAAATAACTGAATTATTCTATTCCGGAATACTTTCAGGCACCGAGCTGGTCCCATCTTCATAGGGTATTATAGTAGTAGTAGTACTCTACTATACCAACTCTCAACTGTAATAGTAGTACTGTCTCCGTTAGTTTCTATTTCCAAATCAGATATATTTGATGTATCATCTGGTTCTGATTCTGAAGGATGGACCTCTACCTCTACGGGTTCTAGTGGTTCTGGAGGAGTTTCATGTTGAATATCATGCTCCATATCCACTTTTTGTTTTTGTAGTAATATTTTATTGTTATGAGCTACGAACATTATTTTGCCGGCTCTTTGTGCAGACTTCTCTCAGTGGCTGCAGATGAGGTTGGTAAAGACAGCAGAGCAACAGCTAAATATTTCATTCATTCTTTTTCTTCTGATTTAAGAATAGGCATACTTGATATATTTTCGTGAAATTTTTGCTCAATGTCTTGAATTTTGAAAAGAAAAAAAACAAAACATACTTACAAAATTCGGATTTTTGCGAATATTCGCGATTTTGGGACCGAATATTTCGGACATTTCTGAAATTTCCTGCAAAATTCGAATGGAAATATTCGCTACCAACATCACTAGTCTCAACAGCTGGAGTATTGCCTTCAGTGCTTTCTACCCCGACTTGTATGTGTTACGGTTAAGCCTCAATTTCCTACAAAGCGGTACCGCTAAAGAGCGACTGTAATTTGACGGCGAGCTATGTCGCTAAAAACGTGTTTGTAATTGCAAATCGGCGTGTGTAAGCGTTCGGCTTAAAAAAGCGACACCCTATTTTCTGAAATGGCCGCTCTCTACGGTGGGTTATTGTAAGCACATTTTTTGACTGTGGTAGAGTTGCCGTATTTATTTATTTCCTGAAATTGTCATTCGTTTTGACATCTTCTAAACATCTTCAATTAAAATAACAAACAACTGTCACTAATATCATATTTTTTTTGTTGGATAAAATACAGTTTCTGATTGATGAGTTTTGTTTTGGCACCATTTCTGAGATTTATATTGTGATTCGTCGAGCCTGTGTAGACCCCCGCGAACATAAATTAAATAAGAGAATTATATAAGCTACTCAATAATAAATATTATTGAGTAGTTGTTGTGGTTTACGAAAGTTGCTTAATATACTACAAACATATTTGATAGCTTTTACTTTGACTTATGATTAATTATATTTTCAGGTGTCGGAAATGCATCGATTTTTCTTTGAAAGCTGCTTGGTTGTTGGATGCTTACAGCACTGATGCAGCCTTCCCTTCCAAAAAGAAGCCACACGGTATAAAACTTCGTAATCTGATCCTTTCTGATGAATTGAGACCAAAGAATCAGCTGCTACCAACTGGCCCCAGTGAGAAAATGACAGCGTCACTTACCGTACCCATCACACTAAAGAAATCTCATTACAGATCACAGGTATTTATACATATTTTATGAAATATTTTTTTACTTAAACATTGTACTGTTTATACAGAGTGATGCTTCAGCTTTAATCACTCCATCGGAGAACAAGAATATAACACAGCTTAAGCTGTGTTTTGGCGATCTGAGTTCCGGTAGAGCCTTTGATAATGGTTGTATATGTTTTCACAGCAGACGTAGTGTAGTCAATGATCTTAGAGGAGAGAAGACTGAATGCACCTGCTTAGTAAGTCAAACTTAATTCAATATTTTTGGTCTTAAAGATATCAATAACATTTATTATATCAATTGTTCTAGGCTCCTAGACTGAGACCTGAATTGGAGTTTATGCAGGCCCTTATTTTAATTGGAAAACTTTTAAGTTCCATACCGACAAAAGAAGGCAAAACGACCAGATTAATTGCCGAACTTAACACTTTAAATTTGAACTTGCCAGCCCGGGTGTGGTTGCCTTTAAATACATCAACACCTCACCTAATTGTTAGAATACCTCCCCAAGTAGCTGCGGTATTGAATTCCAAAGATAAAGTATGCTAATTTGAAGTGGGTATTTGCTTATCCTGATGATTGTCTTTTTTAGGCTCCCTATATTATATACATAGAAATAGTAGAAGTAAACGACATATATAGTTCTCTTGTACCTAGCAAGATAATGCCTACCCTTAGACACACTAAATCAGAAGAGAATTTAAAACATGACAATGTGTCGTTATCGGCATTTAGCGTTTGCGGAAGCTGTTACGATGAAAACGATCCTGATTGGAGTCAGGAAGATGATGAAATATCACAACAGGTACAATTTACTATACTCTTTAACAAAACTACTAGTATTGTTTAGAAAAACATGGAAATAATTTACTGTTTATTCTTTAATTGTACTCTCATTTTTTATGGGTATCTTTTGATTATACTTGATATTTAGAATAAAAATTAATAGTAAATTATGAGATTTTTTACAATTGTTTTTATTTCTTTTAAGTATACCCAGATAAAGAAAACTGTAGATAGAGATACAATATCACAAATGAGCCAAGAGTCTAGTGATTCGGGTATTCCACCCATGTCAATACCTGCTAGTGAGATTCGAAGAAGATTATCTGATTTCTTCCATGAAGAAAAGAACAAACAATTTACACATGACCCTGAAGACCCGTCAGCAGCTGTATTAAAAGAACCATGGCAGGTAAAGAAATTTAATTAAAAATAAATTATTATTTAGGTTGTATTACCTATCTAATGGCCTTCTCTCTTCCGTTTCTATGAGTTGCAATTTTTATTCCAGAATACATTACAATTAATAAAATATATATCTTTATTGTCATAAATAACCAAGGAAAAGGCTTGTTTGATTGTCACTCATCTGTCATTCAATATCGTTTGTGTCTTTTGAATAAAAAGATTAAGGAAGGAGCATATCAAAAATCTTAGATCCACCGCGAAGGGACTCAAATATGGCCGACTTAAATTCCGGTTTATCAGTGCCGTTCTAATTTTATTTAAAAAGTGTAAAACTATGATGTAGGGTAGACGTGGGGTAGACTCAATAATTTGTAGTTTTATTTTACGTTGTGAATAAATGTTGGTAGTTATTAAAATTGTTATAAAAATATAAAATTCTAATAAAAATAGATTAGATAAGTTATAATAATTATTTATTAACACAAACATCCAATACGCTACTGAACCAGGTAAATAAAATTGACGTATCTAAATTCTTTGGCTAGATGTCAAAGAATTTAGATCTTTGACAAGTAGTAAATAAAAGCAAAAATGCAAGAAAAAATATATAATTAGGTAGTTAATTTAAGTGAATTTCATAAATGATTGGTTTACAACACGTATGTATATTATATAGTCACTTACTAGCGAAAAGTTGTTCCAGTATTTCACTCGATTTTTGACCGAGATCTACCGCACACTACACAACCAACTATTTTACAAACTTTTTCGATAAATCGCAATAGTGTCACTGTTAATTTAAGTTCTGCCAGAATTTCCATCTAGATTTACTACCTTTATACAACTATCAGTAATAGAATAAATAATAAATAACATAAAATAAGCCCCGTAAAGACTGACAAATCCACAAAATTTCAAATCAAATTCAAATGTGTCAAATGAATCGTCAAACAGAACTGCCAAAGATTCCCACCCTAGAGTCCTTTTTCCGCCCACCATGCATGAATACATGGATAACATTATGCTCCTTCCTTAATCTTTTCATTCAAAGTTTGTGTCACAGAAAAAAAACTTCACACACTTGTCACAGAAATAAGAACTTATAACAGTTCATTTAGAAAGTTTGTCCATTTACAAAGTATTTTTAAATATTAAACTGCATAAAATTTTCGGCATCCGATCCTTACCATAGCTGGTTAACCTGCTTTTTTACAATTTATTCAAGTCTGAAGCCTAAACTTGTAACTAGTGTATGTGAAAGTCTACCCAGCGAGTTTTAAAATTTATTTAAATGGAAGAAGCTACTGAATTTCTTATTTTTGAAACCCTTTTTTTTAAATCTTTATTTTTGACTGTAAATAAATTATATATAATAATAGCTCCCGTATATAGCGTTTAACGCCTTGGGAGTAGCAAGGTACAGCTTGCCATGTGGCTAGCACTACGCTTCAACCGCCTATTATTACCTCAGAATTGTGAATCCCAAGTACTCATTTAAGACTGAGTCGACCTAGGTACCCAAACTATTTTTATTTTAATAAAAAAATGGATAAAGCCAAGCAGCAAGAGACGTGGCAACACCGTGAGGACTACGCTACAGCTCGAAGGCTATGGCCAGTGGTAGATAGCAAAAAGACAAAACAACTACTAGAGCACAAAAGGACCTAGTACGCATAATTGTAGGTGTCGTCACTGGAAACTGTCCCACGGGGGTAAACCTCGTAAGATGGAAAGTTTCCGACGACGACTACTGCAGAGAATGCGGAGAGGAAGAAGAAACCATAGAGCACCTGCTGTGCCACTGTCCGGCACTGGAATACCGACGCATAAAACTTTAGGGCTAGGTTTTTTGGAGGGACTAGAGGAAGCAGCAGAAGCCAACATCAGCGACATCGGGAACTTTGCAAAGAGCTGAAAGTGCTTTAACGCAAAGAAAGAATGAGAGGAAGGTTTGGTAAAACAATACAGGTGTATCGCAATGGGCCCAAGGCCTCCGAGTCAGGGATCAAATATGATCCCAAACCCCAGCAACCTAACCTAACCTAGATCTTAAAAAGCTTCTAATGCACCAGTAGCACTGTATATTATGAAATCTTTTTTTAGGATAAAGAAACACGCATCCGAGAAACTTCTCCTTATGGCCATCTTTCCAGTTGGAAATTGTTGTCTTGCATTGTAAAATGTGGAGATGACTTGAGACAGGAGCTCATGGCATTCCAGTTACTCACCGTGTTTCAGAAAATATGGGAATTGGAGCATGTGCCTCTGTGGGTTCATCCTTATAGGTATAAGTAGCTTTTTGTTATATATTTTACCAGTATTACATACGCTTTATTGTAGAATTTTGGTATTGTCAGATGACAGTGGTCTAATTGAGCCAATACTAAACACTGTTTCACTCCATCAAGTTAAAAAGCATTGCCAACTGTCACTCCTCCAATATTTTAGAAAAGAATTTGGAACAGAAACTTCAGAAGCTTTTCTAACTGCTCAAAAGAACTTTGTACAGAGCTGTGCCGCCTACTGTTTAATTTCATATCTCATTCAAGTCAAAGATAGGTATGTGTTAAACTCTTAATAATTAAATATCAATTTCTTAACAGAAAGTATTACATAAATATGTTTTTAGGCATAATGGCAATATACTTCTGAAGAGTGATGGACATTTAATACATATCGATTTCGGTTTCATTTTGTCAGCTTCCCCGAAAAATTTAGGCTTTGAAAAATCTCCTTTTAAGTTGACGTCGGAGTTTGTTGAAATTATGGGTGGTGAAAATTCAGATATGTTTGAATATTTTAAAATACTAATACTTCAAGGATTGATTGCTGCAAGAAAACATCACGGAATGGTTATTGATTTGGTAGAAATAATGAGATCAGGTTAGTTAAGAACTCAGTAATTATTTAAATTAATGTCTAACCGCTGACAACGATAACGTCGAACCAACGGTCATTCGTGCATGTTATCAAATAAATTTGAAACAGAGGTTCAAAATATACTTCACCAAAACTTCGATTTTTCATTAAAAAATAATTGGCAGTCCTTGTACCGGGAGGCCAACTAAGAATGGACGCCGGCTGTAACTCAGAAACTACTTATCGTATAACTTTGGGAAAAAAATTCTAATAAGTAAATCGACCAAGAGAAATCGCTGGAAATTATTTTCAAGTTCGAAAAATGTCCGCTTGGGGGCGTTTCTCTGATAGACAATCCGAAAACAGGGGTTTTCTCAAAAATATGCAGGTAGACAGGTATTTTAAATATTACTATTGTAATCATCGAGAAATTTGTATTTTTTTTTGATAAGAGTATTTTGCTCTATCTCATAAAATAAAGTGGTGAGGGAAGGTTAAACTTGCTTTTATTAAAATAAAGATAACTCTGGTTTAAGTTAGCCGATTTAAACAAACTAGGGCTCGTTTAAAAGAGCTTTTCTTCCTAAATAATCTTCAGTATAAACTTTGTTTCTATAATTTTTTTCGTGGCAGCTTGAGGGCGCTGTTTGACATGATATTGCGCTTTTGCATAAAAAAATTAAATAGGAGGCTATATTTCTCTTTGCACAGTTAAATAGAGCACAAAATTTCCAAAATATTAGCGGAAACCGCAACTTTCCATCTTCCCTCTAACGGGAGATATTAAGAAAATAAATCATATTAGGCTGTCAAATAATAGTAGTAGGCTAGGAAACAAAAAGAAGTAAATTGGTTACGTCAAAATATCAAAACATATATTTTAATTTCATTTTAATACCATTTAATTGATATTTATCCATGTTCGTTCTTGATTCGACCCCATAAATTAAAACCCAGGCATATTGAATCCGATGACCTGGCTGGCCATGGAAATATGCCGCACCAGCATCTCTATCTACTCAAGTAAGTAAGTGGTATCCAAGAAGACACATTCATTGCAAAATAAGCAGCATAACTGCACCATCATGCTGATGAAATTGCAACAAATGTAGTTTCATCATGATGGATTCCCTAACAAAATTGGCAATTCATTTCTTATAAATTATGGATAGTTCATTTCATTCAGATAATTAAAAAAGTCCAATCATTCGATCCTAGAATTCCTGCCTAAACATTTACCGACTAACTTGGTCCTGAACTACTTGCATCAAGGGTAGATTTGGACCAGTAATTCATGTTGTTAAGATTCGCACCTTCGGTGCTATATGAAAAGTGACCCAAACGACATGAACTTTATAATATAATTTTAAATAAAACAACAAAACAAGTAAAACACGAAAACAAGTAAAATCAAGAACGAACTTGGATTAATAACTAAATAACGTTACATGAAATAAACCCCTAGTTTTCGGCCATACGAAATTCGACCGTTTTCGGTTAAAAGCAATATGGCCGCACAAAATTCCTAGAAATTTTAATAAAATTATTGATTGTCCGACTTTCGAACATTTTAATCTGAGAATTCTGAGAAATTTAATCTGAATTCTACCTACGTATAATTAACCAAGAAATTCGTAAAAATATATGGATGGACGATATTGTTAAATAAGCATGTCTAAAAATTTATGACATTTTTTAAGAAAACGCCCGAAATTCGGATGCATGAAAACTGAACTTAAACGTATTGATATTTTGACGTAACCAATTTACCTCTTTTTGTTTCCTAGTCTACTACTATAATTTTTAGACCATATAATCCTAAGCGGCATAATCCTAACATGATTTGTTCTCTTAATATCTCCGGTTAGAGAGAAGATAGAAAGTTGCGGTTTGCGCTGATATTTTGGAAATTGTGTGCTCTATTTAACTGTGCAAAGAAAAATATAGCCTCCTATTTAATTTTTTTATGCAAAAGCGCAATATCTGTTATGGTGTCAAACAGCGCCCTCTAGCTGCCACGAAAAAAATTATAGAAACAAAGTTTATACTAAAGATAATTAAGGAAGAAAAGCTCTTTTAAACGAGCCCTAGTTTGTTTAAATCGGCTAACCCAAACCAGAGTTATCTTTATTTTAATAAAAGCAAGTTTAACCTTCCCTCACCACTTTATTTTATGAGATAGAGCAAAATACTCTATATCAAAAAAAAATACAAATTTCTCGATGATTACAACAGTAATATTTAAAATACCTGTTTACCTGCATATTTTTGAGAAAAACCCTGTTTACTGATTGGCTATCAGAAAAACGCCCCTTAGCGGACATTTTTCGAACTTGAAAATAATTTCCAGCAGTTTCTCTTGGTCGATTTACTGATTAGAATTATTTTCCCAAATTTATACGATAAATAGTTTCCGAGATACAGCCGGCGTCCATTCTTAGTTGGCCACCCGGTACATCTCATAAGCAACATTAGAGGCCCTATTACTAGGGCTGCACCGAGTACCGAGTAGTTCAGTGCTCGGCCAGAATTTTAACCGAGTAATATGTATTCGGTGCTCGGCCTGGTAGGCCGAGTAAAGTATACTATAATAAGGTATAGTCGCCACCGCACCTTAAAAGAATCAATTCAGAATCCAGCACATTAGAAATATCAGTTTGCATGGGGAACCACAGAACAAAAGAATATCTCCATAAGCAAAACAAACCAGGTCATTGGTTTGTAGTCGGGGAATCCCAGCCGCTCGTCAATCATAGGCAAAACAAACAAGGTCATTGGTTTAAGGCCGGGGAATTGCGGGAATTTTAACTAGCTTTCTTTAATGTTAAATTATATATTTATATTTATATTATATATAAAATATAATATTATTGTGTTATGATGTATAGTATAATTAGTATATATTGATAAAGGTCGCATAACTGTTAAGACTATTAAAAACCCGACAATTCCACTACTCGGCAGCCGAGTACTACGTACTCGGCCATTACCTTTAGCTTAGCCGAGTACTCGGTACTCGGTCAAGTTAAAAAACAGGACTCGTTACAGCCCTATTACTGTAAATTTGATGTTTTAGATTTTGACTGTTAGATAAAATGAAGAGGTTAAGCGGGAAGTGAATGTTCAATTTCAAAGTTTTTTTATTTGGATATCGCTGGTCATTAGTCATTAACGCCTAATTTCAAAGTTATCTGATAAAAATCTCTCCAGTGGTGGTTTGTACAACGATTTCGTTATTGCCCGGTGTATCCTTAAAGCGGATTCAATACTTCAAACACATATTTATCAGTAAGACGGAGAAACTAAATAAAACAAGGATGCATTGCCTTTAAATAGGATATTTAAGGTGGTTCCTCACGAGCGAGGAATTGCACTAATTTAATTAAGTGTCAAATTAATTTCGTGGCGTTAAAAGTTTAACTTCCAAAATTTGACCGCCAAGACCGGGAATCCTGTAGTAATTGGACGAATAGAGGTTTGGTTTGGTTTGGTTTGGAGTCGCGTTACAATAGCGACCGTTCCAGAAAAATACGGCGATTTTGTAACCGTGTTTCGACTTCCAAAGTGTTGCGGTCCTCGCTTATGCAGTATTTCTGGCATTAGTACCTACCTACTCCCAACCAGTGTTGTCAGGTTCTACCAGCTGTTACAACCATTCGTGCCATAAACTTAGGTACAACTGATATTGGAAATGGAGAATTACCCTCTATAAAACCGTCCCAGATACTGGCTTTTCTCGAAGCCCTGGGACTGTATGATGAATTATAACTCAAGAAAGGGGGACACTATAGAACTGTAAAGTCGCAGTGATTAATCCCTCTCCTACTCATTCTACATTCTACCAGCTCAAAATAAATTTTACTGAGATTTACTGACTTTTCCACAATCTTTTTTCACAAACTATAAATTTTAAAAATAAAACTTTTGTAATGATATAAATTGTATTTTTAAATTTATTTTAGAAAATGATAGAAGTTCTGGCAACACTACTCCCAACCCTGCCGTTATCTCTGTACCCTTGTAAATTCATAAACAATTTCATAGACAAATTCGTAAACAGATGGCTAGAAGAATTTATGACAGTGGCGATATGTTAGGTTTCAATTTTGGAAATTAAACTATTAAATAAAATAAAAAAATATGATCTACCCCTATTACCCCAAACTGACGCCTTTGCGTTTCATCTTTCATGCCTAGTACATACCAAAAATCGCTATTTCGAAAGTAACGTAGCGACGGGAGCACCAACGCCAATAGTAACCGACCAAATCGCGACAGGCAAAACTGGAACCTTAGTAGCGCTCCAGAGACTGCTGGAACGAAGGACCTCGCCGCCGAGGTCAAGCGTCGATAGCCAGTTACAGCAGGGACCAGTTACTTCTGTTCGCGACAGACGGAACTACGGCTCTAGGAGCGCGACGGCTGGAGCGAAGTACGTCGCCGCCGCGCCGAGGTCGAGCGTCGATAATCAGTTACAGCAGTTACCAGTTATTTCTGGTCGCGACAGGCGGAACTACGGCTCTTGGAGCGCGACGGCTGGAGCGAACACGCGCGACGCTATGTACATACCAGTGCCAGTTACTACTCTTAGCGGCCAACGAAATTGGCCAAGCGACGGCTGGAGCTAAACACGTCGCTATGCGGTTACTACGGTTCGAGCTAACTTCAAGAGCGATTATAAATAATTTATTTGCAAATTATAAATTATAATTTTGTCGTCTTTATGATCGTCGTTCTTCAGTAACAGGTTCCTGATACGTTGTGGAGCGCGACTCGACGTTACAAAAAAAATACCGCTCCAAGATCGCGTCACTTAAATACCGACAAATCACTACTACAAACTAAAACAATTCCCGCCCAATTCGACTTCTCTTTTTAACATGCATTGCCTATCCCATTCCCGCGGAAACAATTCGCTAAAATGTTAAAGAAAGCGAATATTCCAAGTTATCAGTATGGAACAAACTGACACAAAGTATAACGCAAGAAATTTATGTAAAATTTCGCTTTTCCGCGCTCGTGAGGAACCACCTTTAAAGGAACCGAATACTAAGCGCATGCGTATGATGAATCGCTACAAAAAAGCTGTGCCCCAGATTAAGTATTATTTCAATTGGGAATAGATTTTTTGCAAAAGGCAATAATGCATTCGAGAAAAAAAAATGAAGTCTGACAACGCCTTAGCCCTATTAAAGGTCCGAGGTCACGGTGGTGTTTATCAGCAAGATAAAATAAGTGCCACATCTATGAGTTAATTTGTGCTTCAAAGTTGAAATATGAATGAAATTATAAAAAAAAAATATCAATTACTAATAAATCATGTTTTTTTTCCTAGGAAATCAGTTACCGTGTTTCAAGTCTGGTGCTGCTACTGTACAGAATTTAAGAAACCGATTTCATATGAACATGACAGAAGAACAACTTAGACTGGAAGTAAATAAAATGGTAGAAGGAAGCATTCATTCTCTTTCGACGAAACTTTACGATGGTTTCCAGTACTTTACCAATGGGATACTATAGCTTTGTCCTTTCCGGGAGAGTAAAATATAAAGATATGGCCAGGTAAATTCAGTTATTTGAAGAGAATCATCGTTTAGTAATTTCAAACAACTTATGAAGATATATGAGTGAAAGTTTCATTATTTTTCAAAGTTAAAAGTGAGATATAATCGTTTTTTTGCAGTACAAAAAACTGTGTAATAAAAGACACTTTTAATAAAAAACGTGTTTTAATCACAAAAGACCATGAGATATTTTCATTTTAAAGAAGTAAATAAGTGAAAGTTAAAATAATACCATTTATGTACTGTGTAAGCTTTGTTTTAGAATACTTATTTATTTACTTATATAAATATTAACAATTTTTACTTATATACAGTTGTTAAATGCTCAAAAGGTACTAATATTGTTAGTTACTCTTAAATATAAATTTCCTATATCTAAATAAAAATATGTTTATATGTGTATAAAGTATATTAATGAATATGTATAAAATTTATTAAAGATTATAATAATTATTCATGTTGCTTATTAGTTTGTCAGTGTATATTTCATCTATATTCAATCCTTTCATAAAATAAGGAGAAATTAAGCTATGTAATTTTTATAAGTATACTTTTCTCCCAATAGATAACTGATAGTTAATAAAAACAATGTTATTCATACGGGGTATGTCATGAAGTATGCATCAAATGGGTTTTTATTATTATTGAGTTATTCAAAAAGTTTATACGGAACTACTTTAGCATGCACAATGACAAAAAATCATTTTGAGGTATAACATTACATGGCGGTAATTTACAAAAATTCTCTTAAGTGACGAAATATTGAGAAAAGTCAAAGAGAAAGTTCAGAATTTTATTTTACATTTATATCAAAAATTATAAATATACAGGGACTTTTGAAAATGTAAATTTTTTTTATATTTTCATAAAACTGTACATAAAATTGTATTTTTTGTTCAAATTACATAAAACAAAGTAAATACTATAAGAGTAAATCCTAATACAGTATATTTTCTTTATTCTGTCTCGTAAGCAATTGTAGAAAATCAAAAATGTCAATTTTTAAGATACCAAACTAGTTGCTTTATGGATTGTAAAAAGAAAAACCTCAATCTTAACATATTGTGAAAATTTTCAACCAATTGTATATATCGTTTTTTCATCTAGAATTGTGTCAGAAAAATTAATCATTCCTTATCATTGTTCATTTTAATTTTTTACTATGAACCAATGCTACAAAATATATAGTACAATTTATGGCTTAACGATACAATAAAATTATTCCTTTGCAAATTAGTTATATTAAATTCGTTTTGTATGTCATTCATTCCAAAAAAATCGACTTTTTTCAACAAGTGATGGAAAAATTGGTAATATTAAGTCTATATATTTATGAAACTTGGCACATAGACATAGAATCAAAATCTGAATATGTTCTTTTTAGCTTTTTTCAGTATTTTGTCACCTAACTTCACTTTTTGCATATTACCGTATAAATATCTATGTAGTTTCCCGCCGTTTTTTTTACTCAAAAGTAATTTTTGAAGTGAAACTTCTTTACGCGCGATGGGAGTAAAATCTGAAGGCCGCTAGTCGGCCTTGATGACGGCTGCGGGATATGACCTTGTCATAACGCGAAGGTCGTGCGAAATAATCGTTGACAAGAGCCTTATTTTGATTATTTTATAGGGTAATATGGCGGCATGGCACAGGTTATGGTTGAGAATTGTTTTTTAGTTCGTTTAATTTAATAATAATTACTAAAATCAGCAGTTCCAAAAATATATTTAAAAATAAAAGATAAAAATCCAAAATATTTATTATCTATTAACATGGATTTGAACGATAATAGGCTGTGTAATAGGTAAGAACACTAAATTGATTCGAATAACGCTATTGCCTATAAAGTAATGTCGCTATTTTAATTTCTATGAAAATGTTATCTGGTTTTTCTCATGTAGTCTTCAAATGGTGTAAAAATCAGCAGGAATGACCCATTATGCAGTAAAGACACTATCGTTGAATCATTGGTAGGTCTTTTGTGGGCATTTCACGAATAAAATCAATTGTCTCATCAAAAACGGAAAATGCAAAACAGATAGTAAGCTTTATAAATATCTATACAAATAACCACAACCCATAACCACACACGGGCCACGGGTCATTCTGTCACTGAAGTAGTAAGGGGTTTTCTTTTAATATGTCGATAACATATTTTTCTAACAGAGAAAAATGCAATTACGCGGGCTTCTCTTTTTTTGTATGGCAAAATAACTAAGCTGTAACATCTCTGGAACTATGCGTATATTGCTTTCTTTGATGGTGCCTCGAATAAGGTTAACATTTGCCTATAAAGTTATGTCGCTATCTTAATTTCTATGAAATGTTTAATAAAAATTAAAAAAATCATTATAAAATTATATAGTTAGAATAGTATACGGTATTATATTAACTTAATTTTTTTTGAAGTTTATAAAAAGTATTCATAAAAAATATGTATCCTTGAAATCCATCAATTTAATAGCTGTTAGTAAGAAGTTTCACTTCAAATATGCGCAGATAGTGCACACACTGTTTTTTTTTTGTTATTAGGTATGCTAAGGTAATTCCGTATAAACTTATTTTCAATAACTCAATAATTTGTTTCCTATTTATTGCGGTCTTTTTGGCAAGTCTTGTATAAGGTAATAAGACTATATAAAAGCAGGTCTGGGCACACTATAAAATCAAGTTAAAAATGACCTGTATTATTTTGCTTAAGCTTCGTTAAATGGAAAGTTATGTCTATGTTATAAAGAGCATTTAATTGTAACATTATGCCGATAGTACATACTCACCGAGGCAGACGAGTGCGACAGGATGGTGGTGTATTCGCCTGCCTCAGGTCTAGAGACGGTCTCATCCAGCTCGTGTCAAAGGAAGTGAGAGGGTTAAAAAATGGGTCACGTGAGAGTGTACACGGTGGTCCCCTCGGCATGTTCGCACCCGGAACGCCTCGGCGAGCGTCTACTGTCGACCTTTCACTTATACCGGGTGTTGCATCGTCGGACGGGACGTAGGAAATCCCATGTAAATTTTAATGGGGTCAATTATTGGCTTCCCTAATTATTTTAGAGAATAATTCTATTTAGGTTTATTGAAGAACACTAAAACCCACATTCAAAAGAATAACTTTAGATATTTTTGATTAGCCCGTTTACGAGTTATCTCCGATTTCTTTTTAAATATTTCTCCTTTCTTATGGCCCTGTATTTACTTATGAGCACCAGTCAAGGTAAAAGATAACTGTCAAATGAAGTTGTAATTTCAGAAATTTACCTATTTAGTTCTTTATTATTATTGAAAACTCATTCCTACATCGGAAATCTTAAAGATGTATTTATAAATACAAATTAATATGAATTAAAGTAAAATAAAGTAATCAATTACAAGGCTAATTATAGTATTATTACAATATTCAATAACTTATTAATTTAGATACTATTAAATTGTTAGAACTTTAGGATTTAAGAAGATGTTCAAATATTCCTCCATCGACAACCCAGGCGATCATAAAATTCTCTTCTTACATTCGCTAGTTGGTAAACTGAAATTCTATTGCATTCGGCAGAAATAGCATTTTTTAACTCGTCTAGATTTGGGTATTTTTAATCCTTGTATATCCTGTTTTTTTAATGGCCCCAGAGAAAGAAATCATTTGTCGAAATATCAGGAGACCTTGCTGGCCAATTTACTGTATGATTTAGGCCAATAACGTTTCCGTTAAAACTATTGTCTAAATATTCCCGAACAGCCAGGGTACTATGTGCCGGGCAGCCATCCATTAGGTTCCTGATTTTCCCTAGCGGCATCATGTAAAGCAGGTAAAATATGATTTTCGAGTAGTTCCAAATAATATTCTGCATTTAAATTTCGCGTAAGAAATAATGGCCCGATAATATTGTGTCCGAATATCCCTGCCCAAACATTTACTTTGTGTGGATATTGCGTCCTTATTTCGACAAATCTGTGTTGGTTTTCTTTGTTCCAATACCGATAATTTTGAACATTGGGTTTATTATTTAAGGTAAACGTGCCTGAAACATATGTTTTTTAAAAATTCCCTATCCGTGTTTGCTCTTTCCATCATATCAAAACAAAACGCCTGCCGCCGTATTTCGTCCCCATCTCGTAGCTCTTGGTGCTTTTCATATTTGAAGGAATAGTATTTATGTCGTTTCAAAATTCGAAACGCTGTAGTGTGATCTATTCCTATTTCATCCTCAAGTTTCCTTGTGCTGATCTTTCCATGGTTCTCTTCCACGCACAATAATACTTCCAAGTCGGTATCATTTCTTGCATCTTCTCTTTGTTCCTGCCTTGCTTCACATCTGCAGTTATTTATTAGGGTAGGTACCTTTGGTCTCAAATCTGGATATTCCTTGCGATTGTAGATTTTCCAAGTATCGGTCTATTCGGATACAGAGCAGCAAACATGTCCGACACCTTTTGATAACTATTTCCTTGATAATACCATTTAATCATCAATACTTTTTCTTCCGTAGTGTAATTCATGGCTAATATTTTTGATGTAGGTATGAGTTTTTAATAATAATAATAAAGCACTAAATAGATAAATTTCTGAAATGACAACTTCATTTGACAGTTATCTTTTACCTTGACTGGTGCTCATAAGTAAATACAGGGCCATAAGAAAGGAGAAATATTTAAAAAGAAATCGGCGATAACTCGTAAACGGGCTAATCAAAAATATCTAAAATTATTCTTTTGAATGTGGGTTTTACTGCTCTTCAATAAACCTAAATAGAATTATTCTCTAAAATAATTAGGGAAGTCAATAATTGACCCCATTAAAATTTACATGGGATTTCCTATGTCCCGCTCGACGATGCAACACCCGGTATACAATGCTCCCTTTGCACATTTTGAAAATTTAAGTATACGCATATACGCGAAAAAAGTCATTACGTTAATAATTAAATTATTTGTAAGAATATAAGAAATCCTGGTCTTTCCAGTATTCTATGAATAATTTGAAGTAAGAATTAAAGACTGTCTATTTTTTATATAGATCAGACTCGAGTTGTCTTGAAATAACATTGTACCAAATTTAAGGGTGATGGTTACATACATGTATGCATATAATTAAGATTTGAAGTACTATGTGCTATTTGTGTGTTCGCATTTTAGTGACATTTTAGGTGCCATACATTTTGTAATATAAATTTTATTGTTATCCTAAAAGAGTTTGTATCACTGGTATGATTCTTTATACGGAGTGAGTCAAGTTTTTTTTCACCAATGCATAACATTAGTTTAGAAGATATAAGATATTCTGGTGTGAGATCTGTTTCATGATATTTACATTACTTATTAGTATTATTTCTTAAAAAAGTCCTATGGTTATTTCGCCGTTTGCACTGTGAGAAAATCTACAAGATAAAATAGTTATTTTTTGTAAACACCGCTGCGTTAGACAACTAAGACCAACTTGTCGGCGGTAGTTTGC